AAAAAAAAATAAAAGTTTCTAATGACTGGTTTTGAGGTGATGTTAAACGTTTGTTCATTGTGAGCAAAGTAGCAGCTCAAAGTTCATGTATTCCCAAACTAAACTTAAGAGGTTCAAGGTCATCCTTGGTTAAAAGCCAGTCTGGCCTTGTACTCAACAACAACACACACATACACACACACATACATTAAGGAATTCCTCAAATCCAACACATGCCAATAAAGGCAGCACTAAGGAGTCAATAGGATAGGCAGTGCATATTTAAGGGCAGCCTGCGTTATATAACAGAATCTTGTCTCAAAAAAAAAGAGCAGCAGCAACAGCAGCTGGGTCACTACCAAAATTATAATGGACATAAATTGGAATGGCCAGGTTTGTGGCTCTACACTGCAGCCTTGGATTTTAAGCTCACCAACATTCACATACTACTCCGCTCTCTTTATCCTTAGACTACTCTGCTCTACCTCCCAGATCTCTACCTCTAGCTCCAGCAGCCACCACCTCCCCTAGGTCGGCCACCCCAGCATACTTTATTTTTGTGGCTTTTTTTTCATGCCTTGAAAACAATATACAAACTAAACATCTTTAATGTGTAAGAAGTGTTTAAAAGCCTAAGGCAATGGTGTTCATGTCATGTCTAGTTTCAATGAATGATGAGTACAAACTCTACAGCAGCCTAATATAGAAAGTTATGTAATATGGTATGAAAATGACTCAGGAAAATACTAACAGTGACAACTAAAAAATACTCTGCATACTATGCTCCATATCGATAAGAATGACTCCATAAGTTTACATTAAAATTATATAAACTTCAGACTATAGTAGCTCAGTGGCTGAATGCTTACATGAATGTTTGAGATTTTATTACAGAATAGCAAAAGAAAAAAAAGTCAAGAACACCTACAGGAACCAGGCAGAGTGGCAACCACTCACCAGGCTGTGGCAGGAGGGACCAAACTAGTTAAATAGTGAGATCCTGTCTCAATCCACATGAAATACTAATATTAATTTAGCCAGGTTCATTTTTGGTTTTCTGTTAACCAGAACTTCCTGCTTCACTTTAGAAAAAAACGCAACATCCTTCTGCCTCCAACCCAGAGATCAAATCAACAGGAACAAGAGGAATTTCTAATCTTATGTTTAGTTTTATGGTTAACAAAGCCAGCATCATGGTAATATAGTCTGAACAAAAGCAAAATATGAAAATAAAATAAAAACAAATAACAAACCTTGTGCTTGAGAAAGGGACATTTTGTAATTTAGCCAATATTACTGAATATCTTTCAACAAAGAAACATCAATGCAGATAATTAAAATTTGATATATGCAAACCTGGGGTGGGAAGTGGGGAAAGAAAAAGGAAGGAAGGAAGCTGGCCCACATGTCATATGCCTATGAAATTTTAGAACTAAGATAACTTTTAAAGGGCAAATTAGTATCTATGTAGTTAGTACTCATAAGCAAAACAAATGGCAATACAGACATTTCTCATCCAAAAAAATACTTACAATATTCAAATGTTTTGCTTTTTAATCTCAATAGGAAAGTTCAGAGATTTACATAATGAGCACAGAGTATTAAACAGACTTGCCCATCTGAGCTGTCACCTGCTTAACCTTTCAAATTCCAAGGAAAACCACAATCCTGACCTTCAGAAAGAGAAGACTCTTAATAGGCTGGACATGGATGCTGACGCCTGTTTAGGTCAGGAAGCACTTCCCTCAGGCCTTAGAAATGCTTAGGACAGAAATGAGGTAGTGGGTAACAGTACTTACCACCAAGTACGTAGGAACTCAGGTTTTATTTTGGAGACTTGCAGAGAGGAATAAAGAACCAACACCCAAAAGTTGTCGGGTGGCTTCCGCAAAACTGCAATGGCATGCACCCGCATACACACATATACACACACACATAACAAAAGACCTTAATGCTTTTGTTTTACTTTCAGCATAGAAATATGGTTTTCATAGAACAGAAATGCTTCACGCACTCCAATTCAAGCAGTTCTAGTCTATCCTTCTCTGACTTCATGAATACCTGCATTTTCTGTTAGGTATCAGGCATTTCTACTGGCCTGCCTACAGGGGCCTAGTGACAGCAGGATAGTCATCACTAGCTGCCAAGATGTGACCCATTTCCACTGTCTCCACAAGCCTCCAAGAGTCCCATGTCCTGTGTGCATGCAGTATACCCTCTTAGGGAAGCCTCCCGCATGAGGTCTGTGGCATAGTATGGCTTTGTGGTCTCCACACTTGCATCGTAACATTGCCTTGACCTCCCCAATCCCTCAAGCCATTGTTGACCTGACTAGTTAATCACTGCAGCCCAAATGCTCCCAGCTCAAATTCCGAACTACCCTATACAAGATCGCTCCATCACCATGGCACCACACCTTCCTGTCCCTCTGTAACAGTCCCTCTTCTACCACACCCTTCAGGGGATTATTCCCCAGTGCTTTCCTCTGCATTTTTTCTACCCACTTCTACTGCCAGCACATTCTGGTGAGTAAACTTTATGATTTAACATCACCAGTATGTTAAAAGCACTAGGCCATCCTTTTATTCAAGAGTTTCAAAGAGCCATCTACTCATTTATTCTCATTTTGAGATTACAGACAAAAATCGTTTACTTTTGTTTTCAAGACAAAGTTTCTCTGGGTATAGCCCTGGCTATCCTGGAACTCGCCCTGTAAACCAAACTTCGCCTAGAACCCTGAGATCCACCTGCCTCTGCCTCCCAAGTGCTGAATTTAAAGGTGTGTACAACCAACAACCCAAGTCATACTTTTTAATCTCATACTTTTAAGGGAGGCTTAATGGCAGATAGGGTGTCAGATTATGGTAAGGGGTTATTTGAGTAAGTTGCTGGGGCATGGAGCATGGAGCATGGAGCATGCCCTTATAATCATTAAAAAACTCTAGTACTTTTCCTTTAAGGCTCATTTTTCTCATCTCTATTTTAATTAGCCTTGCTTTACTCTCTGTGCTTCTAGTTTCCAAAATGTTGTTATTTTGCATTTATGTATACCTTAGTTATTTCACAAGAGACTATAGGAAAATTTACAAAGAAACACCCTTTCCCTTAAGTGTTTCTTCTTTGTATTACTAGTCATTTCACCAATTCTTTCCATTGGTGCTTGCTTCCTGCAAGAATTTTCCTGTAGAGTGTAGCACCCTTTTCCTACCAGCTGTGGTCTTGATGGACAGAAACATGAGACTGGAATTAGGGGTGCCTAGGTTTGAATCCTCTTATTTGGTGACTCTCCTTTAACAGCTTATTTAACTTTTCTGGGTCTTGGGTTTTTTGTTTTGCTTTTTGATTCTTCAGCTGAAAAAAGCAAAAAAGACGATTTGTTGTAACATGAGCTACACTTGGCCACAAGTGAACAAAACTCATCCAGAATGCCAACGGTCCAGGGCAGAGGGCAAGCAGGACTGTTTTAGGTTAAGAGGAAGGCAGCCAGTTTCTCAGGTGGTCTCGGTGAGATGATGTTCCAGATCCACTGAAACTTACTGCCGACAGCAGCACACAGTCCAACAAATTATACCAGTCCCAGCCTTCAGCGTCCCTTACTTCTGCCCCTGCAGCCTAGTGGTACACAAGCTAATTTACTTGGACCTCTGCCTCATCTTTCTTCTCTTGTGCTTCAAGCCTTAGCATTCGCTGCTGCTGCCACTTCGCTCTCATGGCACAGGAGTTTCAAGGAAGATAGCATTAAGGCTAAGAGGGCCTCAGTTACTTTACTGACCAGTGGTGATAACAGAACCTATTGTTGACTGTTTTGGGATTTTTAAGTTATATGTCTGCAGTATTGTCAATAAACGTGAGCCACTTTGTTTTTTGAGAATACCTAAGTTTTTGTTTTTTACAAATGCTACTTCAAGAGAACCATTATCTTGTGTATAGTTTCGTCATAAGGCCAAGAAAATATTTTAAAGCAAGAAAGTAATAATTAGCTAATGTTCAAGCATCTGTTGAAGCCTGGGCATGCTGCTCAGTGGAATACACAGCCCAGCCCTTGTGAGGTCCAGCTCTTGGGTAGGGGCTGCTGAAAGATATCACACACAATGGACAGGGCACCAGTCATAGATACTATGAGGATTTACAAATCCCACTATTTTTCTCCACTCTTCTGCTATGAATCCCAGTGTATGGACAGTTCCAACTCATGTCAACTCTTTATGAAGTATTCTAGCAACTGCTAGTGGTCTTTCCTCAAGAAGCCAATGCTGTGACTACACATCTACAGATTTTACTGGTTTCCAGAGAGCACATTAATGATTCATCTCTGAAATATTTAGCCCAAGAAACACAGAAAATGATAGCATGTATTCAATAATTGTATTTAGTTTTACTGTTTTTGTTTTTATTTACTTCCAAGAGTAAAACAAGAAATACTACAAAAAATACAATAAGGAATTTTATGTCTATGCTTCTGAAAAATAGGCTAGAAGTCCCAAAGAAAACCAAGGGGATATGAAATCTGACTAGGTGGATTTTCTATCTACTCAACAACCTGTAAATCACTGAGGAGCTATGCTGTCTAACCAGCCGTGTTCTTCAAATCTTTCAGTAGAATATAGGTAATGGATAAATAGTGATTATTTAAATCAGAACATCACTGAGTCAGATTTAACCAAGAGAGCACGTTGTTTGGAGAGGGTCATTTTTTTTTTTTTTTGTTTGGAGAGGGTCATTTTGTTGTGTGTATATATACAAAATATTAAGGATAACAGATGGATATCTATGAATTCAAAGCTAGCCTGGTCTACATAGCAAGTCACAGGGCAACCAGTCTCAAAATATATATATATATTAAAATGATGCTTACTTTGGCAGCACATATACTAAAATTGAAATGATACAGAGAAGATTATCATGGCTCCTGCGCAAGGATGACAAATTTGTGACGTTTTCCATATTAAAAAAGTAGATATTAAAGTGAAAGTGTCTTCTGGCTTTGAGTACATAAATGCAAGAACTAGTAAAATATGTCACACTCATGATGATGGCACAAGAATGAAGCACCACTTGGGAAGCAAGTTTGCAACTTTTATTAAGAGCATTTAACTTTTTCATAGCCTTTACCCAATGCTTTACTCCTAGGAATCTTTAATAAGTCATTTGTAACAGCCTTTCAAAAGTAAATAAGCAAATACACAGTAACTGGGAAATGTCAAATACACTATGACATGTCATTCACTAGATTATTATATAGCCACTAAAAATATTTCAAGCATCTATTAACATGGTAATTGCTTGTGAACTATTTGACAAGAAACAGCTGAATACTGAATTTACACAATGTAGTTTTTCACTTGTTAGTAAACAGAAAACTTCAAAAGATCAGCAGAATTGGTTCAAAAGGATGCAGAATTGGTTCCCTGGACACAATCCCTTCTAGTGTCACTTGCCCTAACAGTAATCTGCTACCAATGATTCACAGATGGATTCTCTGGAAGCCATATTCTTGAAGAAGTCTTGAGCACCAATTACTGCAAACATGGAGAGTCTATTCCCAGAGAGTCAGTGTTCTAAACCCAGTTTTACCACTTCCTCACTCCCCAATCTACCCATCACCTACCTAGAAGATCCCTCCTCTACCTTTAAGGTCCTTACTTGGAACTGGAATTATGTAGACCTTTCTGGCCTTGAACTTAGAGCTATCCTTCTGCTCCCAAGAGCTGTGATTGCAGAGATGTCCCACCATACTCAGCCTAACTTCACTTTTAAAAAATATGCAAGAAATTTCCAAACCTCAATTCCCCATTCCACTTCAATAAGCAGTACTCTTCCACTATCACTCCAATTTCCAAGAATAAGTAAAAATAGCAAAATTTTCCCAGGTTCAAAACCCTGCTCAAGACTTCAAGGAATTCAGTAAAACTCCCTTTCTTCTTAATTCTCCAGCCCTCTTGCCCATGCTCACTCTAACTTCTATAGCTGAGGTCCTTAACTCTCCCAACAATACACCCTGCAAGCACACCGCCAACTTGGCACCAACTTTAACATAAATGTCATCACACCAATCGCTATCCACGTCTTAATTCCTCTACACTGCCAAAGAAAGATAATTCCAAATTTCTCAGCAAAGAATTTAAAATCCTCTACAATTGACTTCTATACTCCAAGTTCTGTCACACTTTAAACTATTCATCTCCATCTACCCTCACTGTCTATATTCTCCAAGTCTTTAAATTGTTCAATCTGCCATTAACTCTTCCTAGAATACTTTGGGTTTGTTTTGGTTTTTGAGTCAAGTTCTCATTCTGTAGCCTCAAATAAATAATCCTTTTGCCTCAGCCTCTCAAAATGCTGGATTAAATATGATAGCCACTACATCAAGACCTATTAACTTATTTTTTTTTCATTGTTGTTTTTTTTTTTTTTTTTTTTTGTTTTTTTTTTTATTTTTTTTTTTTTTCAAAACAGGGTTTCTCTGTGTAGACTGTCCTGGACTCACTTTGTAGATCAGGCTGGCCTCAAACTCAGAGACCTGCCTGCCTCTGCCTCCCTGAGTGCTGGGATTACAGGCACGAGCCACCCACCGTGCCCAGCTTATTAACTTTTTTAATATCTAAAGTAACTGAGCATTCTGTTGCCCATGCTTCCCCTGCCCAATCCCAGCCTGAATTTCTCTGTCCCTCTCTTAATCCCTCCCTAACCCTGTAATAGGTACTCTACCTTATGGTATTCATTTTTCCCATGAATGAATCATTTCTGAATGATATATCTCAAAATGGAATGTAAGCTCTTTCCTAGATAAAAAATGCCTTATTCTCTACAATGTGGCTTAACTACACAGTGTTCTGTCAATTTGGAAAATGCCCCTGAAGAACTATGACAAAAACTTCAGAAATACTAGAGTTTCCTAGTCCCAGGAACAAAGATAATAGTCCCCTGGCAGCTCAATCTGAACAGCTTTCCTTCAGCTGTTTTTGCTGCTTTCTAGAAAGCAGCTTCCGATTGCTCTCTAGGACAGAGAAGTCAGACTTTGAGGACGATCGGTAGCCCACATTTTCTGCTTTTAAGGGATTAATGATATGGCCTAGTTTGGTATCAACCTTGCAAAGTGTCAGCTTTTGGAAGGCCCTTTGGGTGTTCCATGTATACCCAATAGGGTTCTGGATAGTCCTTTCAAATTGCTGGTGGTGGGCAAATGGGTGTGGAACAACTCGCACCTGATGGGCGGCTGCATGGATGTTGCGCTTCTCACTGATAATCACATTTGACAAATTCTTGTCTTTTCTTGGAGGACCTTCCCGAGCCTTCATAAGAAAACAGCGTCTTTTCTTGGCACTGGGCTTTAGGCCCATACCAACCCACTCACCCCATCCAGGCAATGCCAGATCCAAGTCCTTTGGTTTACTGGCCTCTACAGCTTCCCTTTTCTCTTTTAAGAACTCTCGTATGACATCATCCCCAGCAAAAGCTTCCTTTATCATCTGCTTTTGGTCTGTCTCCACTTCATCTTCCAACTCCACCACTGTGGGCACTGCCAATGACTTCACAGAAGATCTAGTAGTTAGGAGATTTTGTAGATCAATCATTTGTTCCTTCTTTTTCTTCCTCCCAGAGGCATCAGATTTACTATGTGGGTTCCTCTCCTTCCACTCTCCTTTTAACAGAGGTCTCAAAAGCCCCCTTTTTTGATAATGTCCCTCTTTGCCCAATTCTCCCTGTTCCAGAACATGTGCTCTCTCTAGCCTTTGAGGTACCAGGAACTCCTCTGGGGCAAGATCCCCTCTACGGATATGGACAACAGTTCCCACAAAACTTACTTGTTCCCCCTCAGATTGATGGTTTTCCTTGTTGAGTTTCTGAAACAATACCCTTGACTCAGATAACAGCTCCAGGCTACTAGAGTCTTCCATTTCTTGGTCATTCATTGGCTTGGCATTGTTGGGATCAACTCTCTCTTGAAAGGATCTTTCTTTCAACAAAAGCTCTTCTGCCACTGGTCTTTCATCTCCCTCACTTTCAGAAGACCCAGGGGCCACCACTTCAGACTGCTGTTCAGGGTCTGTATTGATCTCACCCTTTTTTGCTTCGATGTTGCAACTCCTAAGCATCCAGGGATTTAGACTAGCTGCATCCATCTGTAGGCCGTTCATTCCATCATTAGAGACAGAGGTTACTCCCTCTTCTGTACATCCTTCCTCTTCCTCACCCTCTGAAACTACCTGGAGTTTCTGTGTCAGTTCTCTGTTCTTAGCCAATTGCTCTTGCATAGCCTGGCAAGCCTCCGGGTCATATCTAACCATAATTGCCTTTGACTTTGCCCATTTCCCATTACCCTGGTGCTTAAGGCTCATCCTCTCCATTACTCTGGCCATTTCTAATTTTTCCAGGTCTCGCAATGCAGCACTTGGGCAGTCTTTCCACAGCTGTTCAGCCTCTTTTAAGGCTTTCTTGGCCTTTCTTTTCTTTATAATTTTGTGATACTTTTTACTTTTGATTCTCTTCTCTCTTCGAGCTCTGGCCTCATAGTAGGACTGCAGAGCTCTAGTCCTCTGAAGCTCTGCTCGGCGTATCTTGGCTTCTTCCAGGCTCATAGCTTTGATGGAGGCTTTTTCCACTGGAGTCAATAAAGGGTCTGTCACTGGCTGCTTGTTCTTATGAAGGAGGTTAAAAATGTCTTGCTCCAGGGGGGTTCTTGCTTTCCAGCCAGTGATTATGTGTTCAATGGGAGCAACAATTGGCAGCTCCTTCTCCATGGGAAAGACCAGCTGCTCTGCTTGCTGATTTTTCAGAATGACAGGATCCCACTTGGAAAGAATTTGTGAGGTTTTACTGAATGCTGCTTCCCTGAGGATCTGGTCAGCCTCTTCTTTGTTAAATGGTATCACCAAAGTCTTTGACTTGACTCTATGCAGTTGTTTTTTCACAGGAGCCAATGAAGACAATACGGTAGCAGACCCAAGCAAATCTGAAAGGACCAGCTTTTCACCTGATCCTTCAGTAGTCACATTGAACTCTGACACCATCAGACCAGCCTCAGATCTCTCTGACAATTTCCACCTATTCTTTCCACCAAGGGAACAGACTGCTTCCAGAAGCTTTTGACATTTTCTTTCTCCATCACTGTCCCCCTCATCTTCACTTGTACTCAATGGGTAGTTGTTTGACAAATCCACTAGCTCTTCCTGCTGGCTCAAAGGCAGAAGGTTTTCGACATTCCTGGTCATGTTCATGGTAGCAGCCTGCTTTCTCTCACATGAAGCATCTGGTCTCCTCTTTGGCTCCATCTATTTACTGCCCACTGTCTCTGACATAGATATTTTCTGAGAATCTTATTTATTGAGATGTCTAAAGAAGAAAAGACCCATATAAATAGCCCAGTAATTTCCATGTAGTCAACACATAAAATTTACAAGCCAGCTAGGATGAAGACATACAAAGCCAGCCTAGGCCGCATAAGTCTCAGTCTCTGTGTCTGTCTCTTTCTCATATAATATATATATATATATATATATATATATATATATATATATAT